CTTCTTTGAGCCTATTCTAACAATAGCAACAACTGGAAAATTAATTCAAGCTGTTMCATTAAACAAATAAGTAACAGACTGAAAAAAATAATCTTTTTCTGAAAATAATAACAATTATACAAGTATTATAATTGTTGACATTCCTTAGTATTTAATGGGGATCTTTAATACTAATAGAAACTTGAAATGGCCTATTTAAAATAAAATATTTAAAAGTTCAAATCAAAGCTCATCAGTTCTCTGAATGAACACCTAATTGTTTGCAGAGAACAGMTAAATGTAATTGTTAAAGTTAGACAAGGCCTCCAATAAGTAAAATTCACTGCTCTTGTTTTTCAGAGGTTCTGAACCATCAGCTTCCATTTGAAAGTATTCCTAGCCTCTCTTTATAAACCATTTCCTTTGGTTTTAAGGACTATATAGAGGTCAGGGAAACTTACAGAGTAAATGGAAGAGAAGGATTTAGCTTCTCCAGGTACTTTACAAATAAATGCAGTCATCAGCATTCTGAGGGATGTATTTTGCCAGGAGTCTTCTGAATGCAGAGTGCCATGGAGCATCTCTCCACTTAATTCAGTTCCCTGAGCTGTCTCAGTATTACTGCTCCAGTTGCTAGCACTGAACACCCAGAAATATGAGCCCTAAAATRTTGAAAGCAGTGTTTTAATGAAATCAGTTGCATTTAAAAATAATAATAAAAGCAATTTTTTCTATTAAATGCTCAGTAGAATATAAAGTGTACTTTCCAAAGTTATACATTTTGAGACTTTTCAGCTACAGTGCACTTTCAAAAGTTATACATTTTGAGACTGTTCAGCTATGTTCGAAATAAATATATTATTGACTATTAAGAGTTCTGTTCATACTACATTAACTTTTGTTGGGTATGGTTTTATATTAAATGAAATGGTTCACACAAAGATACATTTATGAGATGAAAAAGGAATCRCTTTTTTATGACACTCTGTGAGAATACAAAGTGATCTGTGAGAATTCACAGAGGTCTCCTTGGCCTTTACTTTTTCTTGAATATTCTGCATAGAAGAACTTGATAAGAAACATTGATCACCAGAATCTTTACACACTTTGATCTAATAATTGCAAATTTAGGCTAATATTGCACAGGGATTGAAATAAGAACCCATATTTTGCAATAATTTTAGCCAAAGTCTGGCAATGCAAAGACATTGCAACCACTCTAAAATGTATTACATGTAAATGTTAAAGCCTCTTTTTTGTCTTTGTGTGTGCATGTGAGAGAGAGACAGAGAGATTCAAACTACTACAAATATGATTTGAATCTGATGTTGTAGCCATGCTTTTATGTCTGCATGCCCCAATAAAATAAGTTTGGCCATTATGTCCTTAGAAGAGCGTCCTTTTCCTTGAGGTTACAGGATCTCCTATAAACTGGATATCTTTATCCATTTTCTTGCTATCCATATCTTACTCTGATAATATCATTATTTTTCTGCTAAGTCACTGAATGCTAAGAACACAAAACCTTGCAAGGGGCTTCTCTTCAAGAAGGGAAGTGGAAAGGCATCCTGGTCATTACTCAGTACACACAAACTTAAACAGTTCCCACAGCACCCCTCGAAGAAGAGCTGGTATGTACCCAAAAAGCAGTTCTGCATCAAGGCTTGATTCTAAACAAAATCCCATGGCAGGCAGAGAGTCTCTTTCCTCCCCCATCTTCTCATGATGCTATTTGTCTACAAAAGCCATGGGGGGGGAAGCACTCCATGACAACAACTAAAAAGCTTCCTATTACTCCAAATTTATATAAAAAATAAGCAAAAATAATGTAAAAAAACAGAAAAAATTATCTTCTGGTATTACTTCTCATTGCAATACATTTGAAAACTACTTATTTGTCCTTAAACTGAATTAATATACTGCTAATGCTGTAATACCAATGCTACTAATATTTTAGCAAAATAATAATTTATGGTAAAATAGTCTGGTGCTTAAAATTACATCSATTAATGATCATTCTTCACATTGCACTGCACTGATCCTTCTACCTGGATTAGCCCTTCCAAAATCTTCCAAAGSAGAAATAAAAGCAAAGGGCTCAGGAGCAGAAAGATTTACATGCCCAAAAAGAGACTTATAAAAGACGGTGAAGTATGAGAGGGGAGCAGTGATCCTGCTTCTAATTTTTTTCCTGCATGATGTATCCTTCTCCCTTCTAGTCTTTCTTTTCTATTGTTTTTTTYAGTTCTCCCCTTGCAGGGTTTTAGTATTTGTTATGCTCAGTCATAGGAGTGTCTGCAATATAACTGCATAACATTCCTTATTTGAAGCATATGAACTTCAGACAAAATGCTGCTCAACTTTTTCTTGGCTGACACAGAGCAGGAAGACTGWAAAGGGCTGTTCTTATTTGATTTGAGTGGCACAAAGCAGATGGGACAAAACTGTGTCTCCACACCTTTTGCTTTTATTAACCATAGACGATAAAGCACAATGTACCAGGCAGTCAGGGTCTTTGGTGGTATTCACAAGGCAGTGCTGTGATTATTGGTTGTGAGGATGTCCAGCAGAATATGTGTTGAAAGCAAAACCCTTAAAATCATCTTTTTGAACTTTCTGGAAATTTTAAGCATASGATTTAGTCTCTTCCTAAATTTGTGTTCCTAAGCCTTGTAGTAGGTCTTCTTCAGAATGAAGAAGCGTGGGTCCAAACGGGATCTAGCCAGCATATACACACACTAAAAATAATAAATGCAAAAAACAGCTCTGTCTATGCTAGAATATGTTCATGGTTTAAAACCRTACATCAATTGTCATTTAAATGAGCTCAAACATGCCCCCTTTGTGTCTGTCACAGTGGTCCATGACAGTCATCATTGTACTCTGTAATTCTGCCATCACTTTCATCTGCTTTWGTCATTCTACCTGTTTCTGAACTTTTTATATGCTTTTCAACAATTTTAAGTATTTTTTTTTCTCCTGGTGCTTTAATTAGCAGTCTTGCTTCCCTGTAAATTACTTGCTGACTGAATCATGAAATCTTTCACTTGACAGGCTTGATGTAAACAAAGAGAATTTTGAGTAACTGAAAATGGCATCATTGGTGCCACAGCATAAAAMCTAATTTCAAAGATGAGATGAAAAAACTGCCATAAAATAGGAGTTTCAGATATCACTGCAGTTGGATCCCGTGTCAATAAGCTATTCTGTCATTCTCTGTGGAAAGATAGCATTTACTCTTAAATGCTTATTAAATAATCTTTTGTATTCCAGGGCTACRTACTGTCAGAATTGTTAGATTGCATTGCAGGCTGGGAACGGTGCTGCAGCATTCACGTGGCACATTCTTCTAACTTGCAGCACTTAGTTCTGTGATAATTGAGTCACAGAAGCTAAAATGGCCAATTTACAGTTTA